ATTTATGTTTATTACTCACTAGGTCGGAGTACTCACATTACTCCCTGCACCTCGCGTGCAGATCCAGGTGCTCCTGAGGCTGAGTGAGGATTTTCTGTTGAGCAGCGCATATCTGGGAGCATCGAGGTAGCTACATGGCGTCCGCAGCCCGATCTCTCCCTTCTATCCTTTGTTTTTATTTCGTATTCCCCTAGAGTGACATGTATTAGATTGATAAACCTGTATTAGAGGCTCAGACTTGTGACACCGAATCTTTTAGGCTATGTAGTAGTATTGTTATTTGAATTTCCGCACATTTAACTCTTATTTCAGACTTCTAATATGTTGATTTGGTAATTTAATTATGTTAGCTAATAATGAACTGTATAATGAATTGGGTTAAGGTTGTTAATTGGTCGGGCTTACCTAGCAGTGTGTTGGGCGCCATCACGACCGGGGTTGGGGTCGTGACACGCGGCTTCCTTAATACACTGTGCAGTCGTGGTTCTTATAGCACTTGCATCCCCACTACTCCTCCAGGTCCCCATAGTCACCAGCTTGACCCCCAACTCCTGCGCTTTAGCTTCCGTCAAGGCTCCCCACTTGAACCTGTGTTGGCTATATATTGCCCTCTTCCTCCTCTTCCTCGTGATCTCAAGGTCCATGACCAGGAGCCTATGAAGGGTCGAGAGGTTCTCACTCGGGATGACCTTGCAATCCGTGCAAAGACCTCTATCGGACTTCCTGCAGAGTAAATAATCAATATGAGTCTCGGCCACCGAACTCCGGAAGGTGACCAAGTGCTCCCTCTTCTTCGGAAAACTCGAGTTTGCTATCACCAAATCAAATGCTCTGGCATTTTATCCAATGTGAAACTTTATTCTAAAGGTTAAAAAAGGCGAACGATATGTCGCTAAATGCTTCGTGCTTTTAATATAGTATAGATAGATAGATATAGATTGTTTTTCATTTTTAATCCTTGAATGAGAAGAGGCCTACTTAAAAAATTAGAGATTTGCGTTTCCTAAGCATTTAAGAGATTTGAAATTTTGACCTTCAGGGGACGTCTCATTTATCCGCATAAGAACTTTCACCAGTATATTAGTATGAAGTCCAGAGAACAATAAAAAGAAAGAGAAAATTAGAAAAGCACCTAATATCAATATGGTTTAGTTAATTAAAGAATATATAATAGGAAAAATGACACTATATAGCCGCTGTAAAATAATAACCGAAAAATGAAATATGTATATTTTTTGTATATATATATATATATACATATATATACAAAAATTATACAAGTTTTATATACATTTTGGGCTACCAGATATACATAAGCGCGAGCTATAATACCCCTATATGTATATATAATATATATACTTTCATTAACCGTGTATTCTGGGAAATAATCACCATAGGGTCTTGAGATCCAATCTTAAGGCAACGTCCATTCTATACAAATCGTGAATTGGCCTACACTTGATTTTGTGGTAGCCCTACCAACATTTAGTTTCTGTAGTAGCCCAATCTCATTTAGTACGTGGACAATTCCTTCGCCTACAGTCCTACGAGTAAGGGCCTCGTTCTCTCAATGTTGGATCAGATAAAAAGAACCAAAAACAAAAATTAAAAAAATAAATCGCCGTTGCCGGGGATCGAACCCGGGTCACCCGCGTGACAGGCGGGAATACTCACCACTATACTACAACGACTTTGTTGTTGAGTGACATTAACTTGTATTATATATTCGAAAAATATAGGGATGTGAACTCACCGTCAAGTGACAAACATATCACAAATGAACGCACCATAAAAGAAACAAGAATGTACAGCTAACACATGAACAACTGCTACATTATCAGCAAAAACTTCCTAACACATCACTTGGGCAGACTCAGACCTCCAAGAAATGTCATAGGAAAAAGAAATCAATCATTCTTTCAGAAATGATTAAAGATTTTTAAAAAGGAATAAGAAGTAATTAAAAAAATAGACTGAATATGTTGATTAAAAAAAGAAAGAAACAGATTTCGTAGCAGTCTCCGATTGACCTACTTCTATTGCTCGACTTCCCACCCTCTATACAGGTGCCAGAAGCATATATAGGGGAGATAAAAGTAGTGAATGCAAGACTCACAGGAGAAGAGCTTAACAGGAAGCCGGGGTTCAGAAAGTATAACTGTACTTTCTGATACTTCTTTTGGAAAAACAATGTGAAGACTCTTATACTGAACTTTGTTCGAATTTTTTCTGCTTTGATTATATTCAGTATTATCTACACCAGACGAGACACAGTATGATTGGAGCTTAGCCAGAAGCAAGGCGCTGAAGAAATATTCCCTGCATCTCAATTTTGCGATACTTTCATTTCTCGAGATTCAAATTATGAAAAATTTGACTAATATTTTAAAATATATTTTTCTTATAATGTTGACATGTTATAGTACTTCATTTTAATTTTAAAATATTAATTGAATCCAATTTAACTTCGAAAATAAATCAAATTCTACGCGCCAAAATAAGGGTGTTCTGATTCAATTAGGTTTTATTTTCATCTAAACCAAAACAAAACATTGATTTATTAGATGTACAAATCGAACCAAACTAAACCAAATAAAGTCTATTTTGTGTTCCAATTTCGGCCTTCTTTTCTTTTTCTTTTTGCATGAAGTACAAATTCATCTTATTCCATTTTACTAAAATTAAAGAAATAGTTTCACACATATCATCATATGTTTAGCAATTACTGAAAAAGTTAATTAAGCTATTATATTGAAACATATATCTGCAACAAATTTATCTATGCATGAGATAGAAAAATTAATCACCTTCACAGATCAAACTTATCCAACCATAATGATTAGAACAATAAGCAAATCACTCCTAACTAATTACAATATAGAAGAATAGAAAACTCAAGTACACCACAAATACGTCAATACAACTTTTTATGGCTTAAAATATATAAGGCATCTCCATAAAAATAAATACTTATGGTCATATAAATTTATAAATGGATATACTTAAATATTTGGTTGGTTTGATTTTTTTCTTAAATGCCAAACCAAATTAAATACTGTCGATTTGTTTAAATTGAAAAACAAACCAAAGCAAACCAAATCAAAGGATATGTTAGATTTTCACATCTGATTTATTTAGTTTTTGATTTGGTTCAATTTCTTAAGGTCATAAACTGGCACGTATGATTACCTAACTAATTAAAACAGAATCTAAAAGACAATATTAGATACAAAATGTTTTAATGTGAGGCATTCAATTTTCATTATGGTTCTCGTTCCCTTTTTTGGTTGCAAATCGAGTACTTGAAGTTGAATTTCGATTAACTGTTTTAGAAAACATTTTGACTGTTTCTTTTTCTGGTAAACAACTGTCTAGCTTTCTAGAAGACAAAAGACAATACAAAGAATACATACGTGAAAAATGTTTATATATACATGCTTAGCAAATACTAAATACGCGTTTAAAAAGACAAGAACCTATCAGAACATGAAGAATAAAGTCATGTTAGACTGTTAGTTTCATTTGTTTTTTTAGAATAAGTGCAATTTTGACATTTTAGGGAAGATCCAGAACTTCTTTAACGAACTAATATAGAAAATTATATCAGCCAAAATACAGATACATGTATCGGAATTGAAGAGTTTAAACCACTAATCTAAGCTGGGCCAATCGACCAATGAAGTACAATTGAAATGCTAAATGAGCTGATTTAAGTCTGTAAAGTGAAACCGGATTGAAATGAGATGATTCATGACGCAACACCCCAAGTTAATATAAGTGGATCAAATTAAACTAGAAAATAAGTCAAAAGGCTATAAATGTCGCGCACCAAACCCACCCAGCGCAAAATTTTGGGTGGGAATGATTCAGAATAAAAAAAAAAAAATGGGTTAATCTGGCACAAAACCAAAGTAATCCATTCAAAAAATAAGGTCAACTTGACATACCTAGAGAGCCCAAATTGACCCATAAAACAACGTAGAAATGACACCAGGTAGCCACTTTTAAGGGCTGCTATATAAGAATTAGCTAGTATGTCATGAATTTCAACTTTTCAATTTAATTTTTCGGGACAAAAATATCCTGAAGTTATAATTTTTAGTTTAAGATTTCACGACAAAATAAATGCTCGTTAATCTCTAAATAGCACCCTGATAATGGCTATATGCACATTTGCCCCAAAAATACCGTCAAGAAGTAGATGGAATTCTCCGTTAGTTTGACTTGAATTGGTAATGCGCAGGTTGCGTTATTAACTGTTACTCAACCCTAACTGAACCAACCGAGTTTTACCCAAGCAACTTTAGAGGTCAGGGCATGACCTGTTCATCTCAGCCAATTTCGTATTAAGCCAAAATTAAATTCATCCTCTTAAAGTCTCTAGGCTTAAAGTTGCAAGACTCCCTACAATTAGATCAGGCCAAGTAACTGATGCTTAATACACAACACCAATATTTATTGGCTAAAAGAAGAATCTGCATGGTAAGAGACCGATTTACGACTGCCCGCATAAAGTACATCCCAATAGGGTCGAGTGCAATTATTTTGAAGAGCCCATCGACAATCCTACTTTGAGAAAATTACTGTAGGACTGTTTCTCCCAGTTCACAAAATTTTCTTTGAAGGAATTATGAAATGATTGAAAGAGCTCGGTCCTTTTTCTCTGTCTTTTTCTTTTTGGCCCTCCCCTTCTCCTGATTTACTTTTCGGTGCGTGTGTGTGGTGTGGGGGGAGGATGAAGGCACAATTTAAGTATGACGTATTGTCAGTGCAACCTCGATGCTCACCACTTCCTTTGCATTTTCCGAAGAACACAAAGAAAACAAAACAAGTGAGCCCTTTATCTTTCTTTTGAGTGCGCGCGCAGGGGGGGGGGGGGTGTTTCTGGAGGGACAGACGGCGAGGAAAGTGTTAACAGTTCAGCTACTACTCTGTTGAGCATGTGTGTATAATCAATCTAATTAACTATGCAATAAAGTGCCTGCTATACGGCAGATAAATCACACAAGTAAATCCTCCCCTTTCTGAATCATGTACCATACGGCACATACTGTACCTAGCGACATTAGGCAAAAAACATAAGCACCCGATACTTACACAAAACTTAGTAATTTATAATGGTTAAACAACAAACTGGGGTATATATTTGTAAATGTGCAAGAACATGTCACATTAGGACTAGGTTGATGTAAATACTAGATGTGATTGCGTTTTCATCCCGATTGATCTGGTCTCAACCTACCTCAAACAGAACTCTCCTAAAATACTTTGATAGCGAATACTGTTGTGATGAACCGCATAAGCAATATACGTGAAAACGTATCAAGCGCGACTATAATGTATCCTGTTGTCGACAAACCACACTTTCATAGACATCCGTAAAAACCATGGAGATTGTGTCAGACAGCATACATCCTGACATCATCTAATACGGGTCTGAACATGGTCACACCACTGCCATCCTACGATTTATGTTTAATTAGAATTTATCATTTCTTTACTATCAAATAAATATATTGGGAGCTTTCATTAAGAAATCGAAGGCGATCCCGAGGTTCTCGTCCAGGAATTGTCAGAGGAATTTCCTCATGTTCCAGGTAATGCCAGACCACACTTTTACCACCGTGCAATATAAGAGAGGCCCACTTGGGGTACCATGATACAAGATCTTAAGTTAGAACTCATCGGGCGCAGTGAACCACGGAAGGTTCCACAAGTGCTTGTTCGTCTCTTGTTCGAATATATACGCATCTCACCAACATATCGCGGTATAACTTTATCGTAAGTTATGTTATCATAGTAGTCATAGACTATATTGACAGGTATCGTAGCAATTATTATTTTATTTGATAGATTTAGTTGGTAGGTAAAAGGAATTGGTAGGCGGACCAAATTAAGTGAATAGGACTCGAAGAGGAACTTGTCCCAGATCCAATGAAAGGGGTTGAACTTACCTGCAGTAAGCATTAACAAACCTATTCCAAATTCAAGACAGAGAACATACCTCAAATCAGCTTCCATACCTTTGTCCAAAAGGATTGTTGGGCGGCATATAAAATGATCCAAAATACTATTTGTAACCAGACGGCTTCTGGTTAAAACCTTTGTCTAGCATCCAGACCTCACACTAAAGAAGTGAAGAGGATTAGTTAGGAATATGAACAAAGGTTAGTCATGATGTTACTGTCCAAAAGCCGACCATTCTACAGATCTGTACCAACAAAGCCAACAGATATTGTAAATTAGATCCTAAAATACCTATGTATTTTATAAGTTGTAGGGACCTATATATTTCCATCATCTATAGGGATATAAAAGACCATATACCAAAGCTACAACAAAACCAAGTTAATACAAAGTACCTATTTGAAAGGAAACAGGAACCTGGTTGATCACCTACACTGATTTGAGCGCAACTTCATTTACAAGTTTACCACGAGTCATGTTCATTACCCTCAATGAACTCTGTTTCGCTTGTGATAATAACCGTCTCTGTAATCTTCATAGGAGCCGCTGCTTCTCCGTCTCTTGTTGTCATGTACCTCATCGTTGGAGTCTCTTGCATGGGGCCTGGAGTACTTTGGATCATGCCCAGAACCCCTCTCTTTGAATCGTGCTTTCTGGTGCACAGGTGAACTAGGTTCTAGTGCAGAACTTGGGTGATGCTTCTGATGAGATTCTCTTACATGAGAATCGACTCTGTGTTTACGATCAGAGGCTTGATAGTGATCCAAAGTAGAATCACACTCATGGCGCTTTCTTGAGTCCCGATTATGGTGTTGATGACTTTCTCTCCTTCGCTTATCAGAACTACTAGGAAAACCATCAGTGACAGAATTGGACCTGTCAGAGTGACGAGGCACCTTATCTCTACTAGCAGATGAGGAACGAGGACTTCTCTCCCTTCTTTTCTCAACATGGAGGTGCTTTCTCCGTGTTCTTCGAACAAAGCTGTCCCCAGAACAACTTGTACTTGGTTCCCTCTCCTTATGGAACTTTCCTGATGCTTCTCGATCATTTTTTGGGTAATGCTCCTTTAAGTTAGACTCAGCCTGACAATATTGCCCACTGTACAATGATAGTGTTAATTAAAATATAGTTCAATCAGACAATTGCTACATGAAAAAGAAAGCAAATTAAAAGAAAAGTATAAAACTATAGAAGGATCAAGGATGAGAGGATGGAGGCAGGATAAAGGCAAAAGAAGTATGAACGTACTGAAATGAAACTCAGTACACTATTATGTGTTCTAAATTCTCAGCTTATTCCAGAGAAGCACAAAGAAAATAACAAGATTCTTCAAACGGAAAGCACTAGAATATTTGGATACATAAGATTAAAGTGGTCAAGAAGAACCCATACTCCGAAGGGAAAGAATGCACTTTTTTACTTCAGCAGGAAAGCATCAAGAGTCGGACACAAGGACTGATGTTAATGAATTCAATATTGTATGACATTGAAATGCGGAGTGAATTTGTCAAGGTTGAAAAATCTAATTTTGTAAAGTAGGAGTGAATTTGTCAAGGTTGCCAAGATGACAAACAAATCATTGGATTTTAGAAGACTGGACGGAGCCTTAGCCAGCAAAAACAAGGGAGATACTTGGGAGCAATCAAAGGAGAGAGATAATTGACTGATCGATATTCTACAGTAATCTTGAAATCAGCAATTCCAGAAAACAAATGATACGTCAAAGTACTAAGAGACATAACATATATTCGCAAAACATATTGTTCAGATGGTCCCATTGTTGCTACTTGCTTGCAATAAGTGTTTTAAGTGATCATGTGACAAAAGGAAAACTATGCATGCTACGACTAATCAGCAACCATTTGAGATGTGATAATTCAGAATTTAAGAGCATCGCGAGGGAGAGGAACAACGGGACTGATTTAACCATTTAGCTAAAGATGACAAACCGAATCATATCCACTCCAAATAATGCCTTACGTCTAGCAAAGATCCAAGAGCAATCTATGACATATAAAAGTTGGAAGGCTACTTCCTGTTTTAGATATTGCAAGAGCGAAATAAACCTGTGCCAATGACACTCTACGACTGATTTATGTAGCAAACTTACCTTCCCAGTTTTTCATTCTGAATTCTGCTTTTATCTTCCGCAAGCTGGAAGCCCATGTACTCATATTGGTTCAATGGCAGATCATCTCTGTTTCCAGCTGGAAGTGCCATACCACCCATTCTCATGATTCCTCTGCAAGAAGTTTCCAAGGTCTTAAAACTCATTTGGATTTAAAAGGATATAGGACATTCATTTAGATAAATGACAACAAGCAACCTTTGAGCTACAAAAGTTCATCAAACACATCCACCTAAAGAACTACTTACCCAGGTAAAGGCATGCCACCATGCATTGATCGCATATATGGAGCAGTAAAAGGTGTTGGAGGAACCATATAAGCATTAAATGGAGCATTTCCGGCATTACCAAACATATTTGCAAATGGCCTCAATGTGGAATAAGTATTGCTATTCCAGTAAGGTGATGGATAGCCAGGAAACCCACCCGTAAGCATGGGATTTCCTGATTCAAGCACAACCAAAGCAAAAAGATTTCAGACATCGTATTGCATATGATGTGAATTAAACAAACAATGGGCATACCTGTCTGAAGCATCGGATTTGGATTGGAAGCAAAAGCGCAGTCTCTGATGAGATGATCAGGAGAACCACACATGTAACAGTTACGGTCCTAAGAACAGTTAAGATAAACTATCATCAGTATATGCCTACAGGCCCTACACTACAAAGCAGCATGACTAATTAAACAATCATTTTTCTTTCCCAATCAGTATATAATGATTATATATCTTTCTCTGGCTATCACTGATCAAATAAACCAAAAATGTTGTATAACTTCAACATTGCCAGGATATCAGGAACAATGTATTTAATACAAATTAGTTTCAAGCCACAGAAAAAAAAAAGTAGAAATGTTTCTTGATTCTAGAACCAGATGTTAGAAGTAACAGCAAGGACGATAGTTTTACCTTTTTTTCCAGTAAGAAGGCAAAAGTAGAAAAATGTCCGGACTCAGGATCCACAAATCACTAATAAGAACATGCTTCTTTTTTAAATAAGGCGAAAAAGCAAAAGTTAAAGTAGCGCCGGCAAAGTAAATACACTTCATCCAATAAAGCTTAACATAGCCAAGTCGAAAGTGCATGGGAGCCTTAGCGTAACTGGTAAAGTTGTTGCCATGTGACCAGGAGGTCACGGACTCGAGCCGTGGAAACAACCTCTTGCAGAAATGCAGGGTAAGACTGCATACAATAGACCCTTGTGGTCCGGCCCTTCCCCGGATCCGCGCATAGCGGGAGCTTAGTGCACCGGGCTGCCCTTTTTTATAGCCAAGTAGAAAGTAAATGAAGACATCAAGAAAGAACATGCATTTATACCCAAAACATGGGTGGATGTTTGTGAAGGCATTACAAATAACTCAAAATTAAGCCTAAAAAATCACTGACCATGCTCAGCCTGAAGTAAGACTAGCCTCTCTTTAAAGCATATATGTCAATTTCATCTTAAAATCAAAGAAAAATGGAAACAAGAACCCAAGATATGATACAGAAAAGCTTCAGCTGTTATAGTTTTATAATGGTTAGCACACATGTTCACATGAAAATACCATAAAGCAGTAGCTAAGTATACTTGATAAAAGTTGCATAATACCTTTTTAACTCTACCAGCAGGCAGAAAATTCACGTCCCCGCCTGCATTAAGACATATACGCAACAAAAGATTTGTTAATAATGAGAAAAAATCAGCATTAAGATAGCAAAAGATCCGGAACGAAATTCAGAATGCCAGTACCACAAGTAAACCCTACCTCTTGTGTCACACCACTGGCCTTTATTCTTCTTGATGGAAGAATCAGCTGTAATCAAGTAGTCCTTGAATAAGTACATCAAAACCACTATACAGAGCAATAAGCCAGGAGACAAAGCAAATATAGGGACTTTAAAAGGTAAAACAAATCTCAACCTTTTACCGCATGCAGTGATACAACTTGTTTTAGTCAAGAGACAACCAATTTGAACCGTGCTTATTTCCTTTTTACATTTTTTTATCACAACATAGTAGGTGGGGACAAAAACCTAAAACATCCAATGCTCTAGAGCAATGCAAAATGTTACTAAACATAACCAGCTAAAAGGATAAGACAATGAGTACAATAGAAATTGAAACTCAAATCTACGTAAGATAGTGATTGGAAAAGAAAATCAGATTTTTCTTGAGTAAAGATTACAAACCAAAATTGACTTTGCTTTTCTTTCATAGTGAAGTGGGGACAGGGGCGGCACTTGCAAACATTGGATATTGAGATGTTCACCATTTAAAAGAGAGCCATATGAACATTTTATATGCAGAAGAAATAGCTACAAAAGCTAGTCAGTTATGAGCTAATACCTTCATCCTGAACATGTGAATGAAGCAAATTAAGAGGCTTGCTTTCACCCTGACAATCTTCTGGGTCATCAGGTACACTTGGAAAATCCCAATGATTAGCATATCGACCTCTTCCTCCATCCATCTGTTGCATTGTCCTTGAATTCTTCCGAATAAGTGAGTCATAAAAAGATTCTGCCATTACTTGATTGGATCCTTTTCCAGTAGCTGAGGGTGAATGAGGCATCTCTGGTTCCCGTTGTACAACAGTAACCGCACAGGAAACATCCTTCACCTGAATTCCAGATTCACCATCTGCATTGAGAAGCAGGTCAGTCAGCCCTCATTCACTAGCAGTCTCTTTTCAAGATTCAAATTTCTCACATAGCAATCATTTTCACCTGGAGCATATTTGCGTAAAGCATTTTCTGACTCAGTGACAACCATCTGAGATTCAAGAAAATGCTCAATCGCTTGCCTGAGAGATAAATTTGGTAGCAGATTTTCCACTTTACATCTACTAGAAAGGCATTTTGGGCACATCGCCTTTTCAAGAAGAACTAGACGAATGCCTACAGATACCCAGAAAAATTAGAAGTATATTCTCAATGATGAATATATATCCAAGAACAGAAGATGCTTAAATGATAAAAAAGGCAAATCGCAAAGGTGATGAAAATGCGCACATTTCAAAAGAAACAAATGCATGATCGAAGCAGGGACAGATGAATCGATGAAATTGCTCAATAATGCAGATACTACTCACATTTCTCACAAAAACTGTGCTGGCAGCAAGGTATCATCACAGCATCCTTAAAAAAGGTGTTGCAGAGAGGGCATTTCAGTTCTGCTGGCAAATTACAATTGGGCAATGCTGGAAAATTGGGGCTTACCACCCTTTATCCATAAGACAACAAACATCAGCCGTGCTTATGGGCTAAATGAATGACTAAAATAGAAGGTAGAGAACACAATACTTTTGCAATGTTGCCACATCTCCAGTTTTTGGTTCAGGTAATTTTGCATCATTCTTGCTTTGATTAGAACCTGAGACAAAAATTCAACCAATTTTTTTTTAAAAAAAAAAATAACAAAAAGAAAATCACCTTCTAAGATATACATAACACTAAGACCAACCTCTTTGGATAGCTTGACTTAGGTCACTTGAATCAAGCTTTTGATTCTGAAACCTGGACGAAAGGAGAATCGCATTAATTCCTTTTTTATGAATTAAGGTGTTATCATTAAAAAGGCATCAAGAAGCTACATAAGGAAACAAAGGGTACAAAGAGAGATGACTGTTAGCTCTGCTAATACAAAAAGCTAGGATAGGATAGGATCAGGGAGCTAACAAAGTTCAAAAAATAGTCAATGCTAGTTACAGGGGTCATGTAGCTCCAACTAAAAGACTAACTAAACATCTAGCCTTGAGAAAACATGCTGGAGCTGAGACACCATCAAAACATCTGCGATTTCTCTCTGTCCAGATACACCAAAAAATGGGTGCTGGGATCATTTTCCATATCCTTCTAATGGCCTTATCAACTTTCCACAAAAACCAGCTGTCATTGGCTTCCCTGACTGAGGGATGACCCGTGATAATCCAAAAATGGCGTATCACATTAATTACACCAGACATGTTTCATGCACAAATAAAAATAAAAAGATCACATGGACCCATTGACATGATTGCAATTGAAATGAGAATTGAAGGCAGAAGCAAGAAGGATGAGGAATTAGAGAAACAGTCAACGCTTGATAATAACACCATGTATCACAAATCAGAAGGGAATGAGAAAGGTTGTGCATTTGCATGGTTTGGCATAACCAAGGGAAATGCATTTTTATTGACTAGTCTTAGAATACGCGCGTTGCGCGTGTATCCCAATTGATGAAAAATATCTTCTTAAAATCAAGATAAATAATATTCAAAATATATGTCTGGGATAGCTAAAAGACCTTTTAGAATATGTTTCCGCACTATATACAAATAAAATTTCTAAATATTTGGCTATTAAAGGAAAAGTACTTGAATCAATAAAGTAAATTAAACTACATCAAAGGAGGTTTAATACAAATATTTTTCTAATCCAAATAGAATATTTATTAGTTTATGCCTGATAAGAAATTGAAAAGTCAAATTCATAATTAGACAGACAATACAACTAATTGATATATGTAGTACATATCATATGTTCACGTTTAAATTTATTCCGTGTCCATCAAAGTATATAACTCATATTATCTCAATATAAAAAGTATGTTCATTTAAATGAGGAAATAATTTAAACAAGGTAAAACTTTTATTAAATTTAAAGTCCTAAATATTAAGGATTCTTATATATTTTAAAGAAGGAAAGATTTTTGGTAGAATTAAATTACTATTGCTAAATATTTGAGAAATAATTAAATGACTATTTCTAAATATTAGGGAATTAATTAGAATGACTATTTTATTCAGAGTGAACTCTATTTTTAAAGGGTAAAAAAGGCGAACGACATTTCCCCCAGGGTCTTCGTGCTTTTAATATAGTATAAATACAACCTTTGGAACCAAGATTTAATATCAGCAGAAGCAAGAGAAGGTGCACAGTTCCCAGCTACTTGAGCTTTAAGCCAAAGATACCGAGTAAAGGTGGTGTCTGGGCCATTTTGTGTACACCCCCTCCAAAAAAAAAAGAGTAAGAGAGTGACTAGCGCTAGAGTCAAGGAGCAACCAAGTATATATTATGGCCAGACATTCTATGCAATTTGTTATCATATTTTCACACAAATAAAGACAGACTACGCAGAGATATAAATTACATACAAATGTAGGAGCCTAAGAACCAAGTCCCTAACCCATCTGCGACGGAAAAATTAGGTATGCAGGCCCTCAAAGCACGAAATAAGAATTTAGATACAGGAGAACGAATAAAGGAAGAAGGGAGGCGGAACACCACATACGTAATTACACCTCTACAGTGTACTGCCCGAAAGAATTATTATGGCGTGTAGCAAGGACATCAGAATATGATGAACAATGCGGAAAGAGAGAACTTTGGGGGACTGTAATGGTGTGGGCCACTCCCTCTATCATTCTCCACTTAAATACAAACCTTTTATCTGTGGCGTGGTCCAAACTTGTTGACATGTGCATAACCCGCACATGACGCGTTGCACTCTTACCACTAAACCATAAACCAAAACCTTAAGGGCGAATCAAATGTTAGTTGCAGATAGAAACATCTTTACCTAGTTCCTATTTTATTTGTACACTTTTCTATACTAGAGAAATTATTTTTGGGTCCAATAAAATCTCATTTACTTACCCAAAAGAGAAAGTTCAGAATCTTAAGCATTGGCAGCAGGTACTATATCACTTCCTTTTATGGAATAGGAAAAGGTCTTTAAAACAAAACTTGCTAGAGGTATGGTTAAGTAGGTTTTACATCAATATACTTCCCAACACTTCATTAGAAATGTTAGTTTACAGTGTCAAGTTTGACTTCTAATTTTTTTTGAGATCAAACAATATAATGGATGATAAGAAATGGACCTTAAGCCTCATTCAAGGATGAGAAGAAATGAACCTTAGCCGCAACTCAACCCCAAAAGGCTAGTTCATGAGGTGATGATTTCCCAAGATCATACAAGGCGGCAAATAATCTCCTCCCACACCGATGTGAGACACTAAAAAAATTCAAATGGCTTAAATAGTACAACTACCAAGAAAAGATCCTTAAAAACATACTTTTCTAAAAATTGAGTCACACAAATTGCTAATAACCGATATATAGAAAGACAATGATTTGGACAAAAAATACATTGTTTCAATCGCGTTTTTACCATTATCAAAAGTATGAAACAAAATTCGAATTTACTAGAGAATATTAAATCATGGTATCTGCCATTTTCTTTGATCGACGAATCATTGTATCTATGGAAAAGGGTGAAATATACCCCTCTACTTTCAAGTATTGTTTAAACTTACCCTCCGTTACACTATCTGGTTGTCTAGGTCCCTATCATTATACTTTGGTTCAAAAATACCCCTAATTTGACGGAATGCCACGTGGTACTTCAAAATTAAAAAGACTCGCTCCAAATTTTAATACCAGACGAGGCTCCAAAATTTTTACCCATAACCCATTTTCCCTAACTTTGAGATAAGGAAAAAGAAAAAGAAAAACTATTTCAAGCTTTCATAATCTTCTTCACCCATTATCTCACTGCTCCATTGTCATCTTCACCCCAAATTCCAAGACTATCTTTTTTCTTTGTATTCAAAATAAAGCCTCTAAATCTTATGCTAGAAAAAGGAATTTCGTTGTAACTTTGAAGATAGTTTATCGAACAACAAAATCTGAGCCTAAGGCCTCATTTGTTTGCACTTAATGGAGGTCTGAATCTTAATCATTCAGATCTCAGACATTAAGTGCGTTTGTTTTTAAAATCTGAATTTTAATTATTCAGATCTTAATCATTAGATGTGTTTATTTTTTTTACTTTACAATCACCTAATGGGTCTGAATAGGTCTGTATGATTAAGATCTATAATAGAAACTTAATTTCATTAAGATGCTATCACATATTCATTATTAACTGCCGCCACAGCCTATCATTATCACCTACCACCATGCCGCCGCCGCCGCCTCCACCACGTCACCACCACGCCACCATCATCCTCAATCGTAGCCGCCACCATTATCGACCATCACCACCCACTATCCCCACCACTCCGACCACTATCATTCTCCCCCACAATCAACACTCATCCACCTCAACTACCACAACTGACCACCCCATCACCATCAACAACCACATCCGACACTGTCCATCATTATAACCTACCACCACCAACCCACCACCTTCCTAAGCCACAACTACTACCACCACCCGCCATCCTCAATCATAATCGCCACCACTACCAATCACTACTAGCTACTAGCATGAACCACCATCATCAACGTTACACTATCTGGTTGTCTAGGTCCCTATCATTATACTTTGGTTCAAAAATACCCCTAATTTGACGGAATGCCACGTGGTACTTCAAAATTAAAAAGACTCACTCCAAATTTTAATACCAGACCAAGCTCCAAACTTTTTACCCATAACCCATTTTCCCTAACTTTGAGATAAGGAAAAAGAAAAAGAAAAACTATTTCAAGCTTTCATAATCTTCTTCACCCATTATCTCACTGCTCCATTGTCATCTTCACCCCAAATTCCAAGACTATCTTTTTTCTTTGTATTCAAAATAAAGCCTCTAAATCTTATGCTAGAAAAAGGAATTTCGTTGTAACTTTGAAGATAGTTTATCGAACAACAAAATCTGAGCCTAAAGTTTTGTAGTAACTTAATGGTCTTGAATGGATGGCCGTTTTCTGGAACCGGAAAATATTGGGTTCTTATTTTTTTCTTGAACACCCCATTTCAGATGTTGTTTTCCATCAAAGTTTTAGTTAGAAAGCAAGGGAATTAGAGAATGGGGATCTTTCAGGGTGGTTTACCATCTTCGGCATGTTAGTGACTCCGACAGTAGAGCTGCGATCGTCGAAGTGGACTGTGCAGCGATGTTAGGATTAGATTTTTTTTTTTTGAAAAGCAAAAAACCATATGAAGCAATAACACTATCAGAATAGACTAGTTTCCTAAAAGTAGTAATGACTAATTGTGAGCGTTCACAAACTTAAAAAATGGCCTTAAAATTGGAAAAAGGATCTGATTTCAAAATTCCATAGACACATCATAAGCAGATACAAAGAAAGGCTGATGGTTGCTCTAAATCTCGGTTTGCTTGCTCCCTCAACCCCGAAGGCTAGCCACAAATACCCACAGTTTTTCTCTTCACCGCATACCTTCCACAAAACTCACGGAATCAGCTGATGTTAGGATTAGAAAAATAAGTTTAACGATGTAAAAATTTTAGAGATCAAGTTTCGGAGTGGGGAGAGGGGGCTTAGTTCGTTGGTGGGCTCTTTTAAGTGGGAGTAGCTGGGTCGGGTTATGGGGTACATATCCGGGTTAATTAAAATTTAGGGTGAGTCTCTTCATTCCTGAAGTGCCACGTGGCATTCTGTTAAAATTAAGGGCATTTTTTAACCAAAGTATAACGGTATGGACCTAGACAACTAGATAGTGTAATGAAGGGTAAGTTTAAACAATATTTGAAAGTAGAGGGATATATTTGACCATTTCCCGTTGTATCTATTATACTATGCAAGTTTTAAGTTTGTTAAAATAAAGAATATTTTTCAGAAAGTACTAGGAAAAAAAATTCAATTGGAGGGCCATACATCAAGAATGCATGGTTAGAAGATTTTTTTCTTATTTTTTTTATAAGTCAAAATATTAATCATGAAACACCAAGCGGTGTCAAAAGTATGCACATGTTGCTCATATGACTTGACTCGAGTCACACATAGGTATTTATGAAGTTTAACGAAAGAAAAGTAGAAGTTACGGCTAATTTTTTTTACTTTTTTCCCTAGACATCCCTTTGTTTAATAAAGATAATTATGGACAAAGAGAAACCTATAAAATAAGCGTACACAACATTATACATGCCAGTAATATTAAGGAGCAAAGGGTTCCACTTGGTCAAGCCTCCAGGACAAACTTTCAGCTTACAAAAGCTGCCTAAGAATATAATAAAAACAAAACATTCTATTTGTTCACTCAACTGATGAACCTAGAATATCAGTCAGTCATATATTTCGGTCTTTATCAAGATCTTGAAGTATCGGTAAAACTATCATGCTACTGCTAGTATCCACACAAAAAAGCATAAATTTAGCAAAGTATATACTTGTAGGAAATACAAAGGAGAGTACAATGTAACATATTGGTTAAACAAGCTATCCCCTGCTTCCTTTTCTTTAACATTATTTAAGTAGGCGTTTGGACATAAGAATTGTAAAATTCCAAAAAAATGGTGAAAAAAATTTTCAAGTAAAAATGGTATTTGAAATTTAGAGTTGTGTTTGGACATAAATTTTAGTTTGGGTTGTTTTTGAAGTTTTGTGAGTGATTTGAGTGAAAATTTTGAAAAACAGCTTTTTGGAATTTTTCAAATTTTCGAAAATTTCCAAAATGCATCTTCAAGTGAAAATTGAAAATTGTATGAACAAACGTGGATTTCGAAAAAAGTGAAATTATTTTGGAAAAAAGGAAAAAAAAAAATTATGCCCAAACGAGCTCTAAGTATAAAGTATCAGTAATCCACTAACTAACAGAAGCATTTCACTTTTATTATTATTATTATTATTATTATTATTTCACAGAAGCATATATGTAAAGCACAGAAGCATATATGTAAAGCACTTGGTTTTAAAGCTATTTCACTTTTATTATTATTATTATTATTATTATTATTATTATTATTATTATTATTATTATTATTATTATTATTATTAAATTTTCTGCAGTTTATGGTGGTGCGTGTAGGGGGAGTTAATCTTACTGAGGTTACTCAATGAACCAGAAATATACTCTCTTTTGCTGAAGAGAAACTTACTCCAAATTGATAAAGAGAGGTAGAAAGAACATACCTTGGACCAGAAAGGTTTTCTTTCTCAAAGTCCCAGCAGTTCTTATTGCCAAACCCTACATCACTGTCGAGAGTTCCCTCAGCCACCGGACAAATGTCAGCCCCAAAGTCATCAAATACATCTACTTGCCCACTCTGTAATATATGTAAGCCATGAGGCAACGTACAAAGTTTTGGGGTTGACTAGCTAAAAGGGAAAAATGATATAGGTAGCATGGGTGCGGCAAGTACAAACAGTAACCACACTTACTGCATGATAAATAAGATCAGCATCTTTCAGCCCTAAATCCTTCACTATACCAATTGGCGGCCTGTTACCATGTCAGATCACATGAGAGAAACTTCAGAAAGCAGCAACAAGCTTAAATGACATATCATTATTAAAGCACTTCAGTATCTAGACAACATAATTAGGGAAGCACAAGAATCGTGACCGACACCATAAACATTCCATACAATACAGAACCCCATTCAATGACTAAGGCAAGGCCTAAGAACTTTAACATACAAAAGGAAAACAAATAGAATAGTTGGTCGCATAAGTAAGGTGAAGACCAGAAACATCACCAACTAGCTTCAAGCTAATAACTAATATATATATATATATATATAACCACACTTCTGCAAGCTGGGACTCATCCAACAATAAACAGGTCAAGGTCCATATATTTCCACTTTGTTAAATTTAAGCGTAGGCAACTCAATTGTTGGACTGAAACGGCACAAAGATACTCTTAACATGGTGTGATATTATCCGCTTTGGGCAAGCCGGCACGGTTTTCCTCAAAAGGCCTCACGCCATTAAAAACATACAACTACTTATAAGTAGCTTCTTTTTCTTTTCCACTTTTCAAGTGGGACTTTGTTCACACACTCATCAATCTCCCACTTGAACTAAGTCCCACATAAGCCATATCCATTATTTGGAAATTAATTTTGTGTCACCCACATGATCTTGAGTATTTACGGTCACCGAAGCCCAGCCTATGTGTCTTCAAAGCTACGGATAAAGGTCGTAAACCCCGTAGACGGGCAAAGGCATTAAGCCAGGCCCAAACGCCACACTCCGCCATTTCTATAGTCCTGCAAAACCATTGGCTCTGATACGAATTGTCGGGCTAAAATGGCCCAAAGAATAGCTTAACATGGTGTGATATTGTCCACTTTGGGTCAGCCCGCATGGTTTTTCCAAAATAACTCACACCATTAAGAACATCCAACTCCTTATAAGTAAGTTCTTTTTCTTTTCTACTTTCCATGTGGGGCTTTGTTCATACGCACCCAACAAGTCAATCTGTCTCAAATCCTTATAAAGCCACCCACGAAAGTACTTCTATTTGTGAAAAAATTTGCTACTCAAAATGCCAAGATTTCTAGAGGTTCAAGCAGTAATGCAAAGGCAGTTTGCATGTGGGAAAACTAATTGTTGTATCATAATGAATAGAGTTGGGAGCATGTTTCCACAAATGGGGCAGTCAAAATGAAAGAGGAAAGGTATATTAAGAAAAGAAAAACAAAAGTACAATTGGGAATTGAGTAAAGGTGGCTCTCATAAATGTTTAGGGTTTTGGATTTTAGCATGATTACCAGTGAATGATATTCATCAAAAAACATATCCCCCATTTCTCCCGTAGACGTCCTCTATCCAACTTCAGTATGTAATAGCAAAGTGATGATATCCTATTTTTCTCCTCAGCTGCCTGATTCTAACGCATAGGAGAGGGCTTAACTAACATCAAGCAGCATAGTGGACCCAAAAACATGGAGCAACTTAATAGAAATCCTTCATAGAGCAAAGCTTGTGTTCTTAAATGTGCATAAAGAAGGAAAAAAGGATTTTTCCAATTGACAAGGTGCTTCGGTTCATAATTAATATATATATATATATTTTTGTTTTCCACCGAATCCGAATCGACTAAATCCGGATTCATGCCCCGAAGTCCCATATTGAGGGGTAAAAACTCCCTAACAAAGACGACTCCATAACCAGCGCTCGAACCCGAGACCTCTGGTTAAGGATGAAGGAGTACTTATCACTCCACCACAACCTTTATTGGTATAATTAATATATTTCTATTTTGCTAAATGACAGCACTATAAGTCCAAATGGTCTAAAAGCATGTGCAATTTCCTAGATACAAAAAGTGTTCTTAACGACGTCATGCTAGATACTCGTTATCGACCTCATTTATACCTTGATACCTCATTGATATCATAGGAGCAAATTCTTTATTGTATATTCAATCATTTATTTTTATTTTTTTAACCGAGAAATTCACATTGTTAGGAACTCAGAGGATAATGAGCCCGTCCCTCTACCTTTCTCTGCTTAATGCCGGACTTTTGACAATGATTGAGTTCAAACCCGTGAATGCACCTAGCACACATCACGCACTGCACTTTTACGGTTTTACCACTAGACCAAAGCCTCGGGCGGTGAATCTTAGCATCGTTAATCTTAAGAGAAAACCATAAAAGCTTCTAGAAAACGAAATAATCAAACCATAAAAAATTTCCTTACTGGATTCTATGAATCTCTGGTCATAGAAGGCTCTAAAAGTTTATTAACAGCCCTATCTAGCACGTGAACAAACAAGAAAAGGTATAAAGCAACACTTATTTGTCGGTATTAATGATTGGATCCTTGTTGTAGAAAATCATATTATCGAATAGGATTCTCCGCTTTTTGTACTCATTATGGATATCGAGATTTTCCTTATTTTTCATAAAGAAATAACTATCTTCACCAAAAAGACGGCACTCATTTATTAGGGAAAAAGAGAAGCACGTAAAGAGTTGCCAAATTAATCCTTAAGCAAACACTAAAAGGTTGTTTCGTAAGCTAATTTAGAAGTTAAACCCTAATGAATTGGGTTTGTGTCAATCTGAAAAAGAAAATAACAGTTTATTACATCTTTGGATCGAGTCAAAGTAAATCTTTTATTAAGAAGCAGCACCAAGGTAATCTGGTACATCTTTGTGTTACTTAAAATATTTGTTTTGGTTGATAACGATCATATCTAGCTCAACTTGCATACACCATGACTATTCCAAGAAGTACCTGCTACATTCCACTAGCAAAGGTACCTGGTAACTCTAGCCACCAAAACTTAGGCAAATGGGAAGAAATCGCCTAGAGTTTTTGATTGCTACTTGGAATTGAACTCCGGTCTCCAAGATTTTCACCCACTTCAATAAATGCTACGCCACACCCTTGGGTACTTTTGTGCTACTTAAAATACTTTATAGGATCTAAGTTTTAAGCGAAGACAATTTGACTTGTCGATGAGTTTGATAATAGTATTTTGAGATATACTAAAATTCAACAAGTCTATAATTACGCAACATAACCACATCAAAGAGTATCTAAGACCATGCAAAAAGGCATTAAATGACTTAGGCCATACTAGCAGGAAAAGCAGAAGAATTCGCCAAAATGCTCATCCAAAAGTACAAATATCAAATTATGTATTAAATGATGCAACTTTTCACGAGATAAACTAATAATTTGAAGATTAGAGAGCTCCCATTCTGCTTTCTCTACCAATTAATTGAAGTGAAAAATGGAAACATGCACTTGCTTAATTAGGAACTAACAAATAAGACAACCTTGCAAGGTAGTGTCCCCAATGAAGATGGCGTCAGTGTCAGGAACAAATCCGATTCCTAATCTCCCCAAACTCCATGTGTAATTCCTCCATTGTGTCTAATCATGTGATGTGAAAGAATATGAACCTAGGATCACGTCCAGATTCCATCTTTGCAATACTAGCACTTTAGTATGGGATAATGCAACTTGTAAGGAAAAGTTTAGCTTAATGTGCAAGTTGGACCGAACACCACTGTTATTAAAAAATAAGTTTTGCTTAATAAAAGAAAAACAAGGTTTCGCTTGCATAATCCCTTTTAACGTATGGTATATATTAGTATGCAATGCTAATAGAAAAATATTTGATGGTACTTAACATATGGTACATGTTTTATACTATGCTACAACAACAACAACAACAACAACATACCCAATATTATCCCACACCGTGGGGTCGGGGTAGTGTGTACGCAGACCTTACCCCTACCTTGTGAGGATAGAGAGGTTGTTTCCAATAGACTCTCGGCTCAGGATAGCTTTTATGCTATGCTAATTTTTTTTTTTTTTAACAAAAATAAATTCCACTTCACTAAATATTACCAATTTGAATATGAAAAATAAATGTTTCTAATATATTTCCTTTACCGGTCCATTTTAAATCTCAAAAATGTAGTTATTGAAAAAGTAAAAACGTAAACTCACGTATGCTCTCAATGATGTCAGTTATCTAGAAAGAGCTAAATAGAAGGACATTTGAAGGGTGGAACAAGATTATGTTAAGTTGCAAAATGGTCTTTTGTTTTCAGTTTCTTTTTGGTGTATGCATGAGGTCCCTATTTATATAAAGGATTGAGTCTATTTCATTGAGAACCATATTTTAGTGTATTCATGAGGCCATTGGGTTTTTTGTTGTTGTTGTTCTTTGTTTTTTGGTATATGGCTTGTACAGGGGGTTCTTCCCAATTGTTAATAAAATTATTTACCTTATCAAAAAAAAAAAAGTATGCTCTCAATGAAGCACTGTTACAGCAATCTCAAACCACAAACGTTGACTTAAGGACATCACCATGATTTGCGATCATTCAGTGTTATCAGAGACGGAAAGAAAAACTGAAGCTAGTTGGAGCTCTAAACGGTAAGCATTAATAATTAATAAAGAAAGGTGCAGTTGAAGGGAAAATGTGTTCAAGAATAATGACCCCAAACCACAATTATGTAAACAAAGAATTGGATAAGTTACAATAGGTGAAATATTCTGTTCGGAGTCAGCCTTTTTTGAGACAGCCTACGGGCGACGAGGCACGTGCCTTAGCGCCTTGGTATGGCTACCGCTTAAGCAAGGCAAGGCACACAACCTGTTTTGAACCTAATTTCAGGGTTTANTGTTACCATGTCAGATCACATGAGAGAAACTTCAGAAAGCAGCAACAAGCTTAAATGACATATCATTATTAAAGCACTTCAGTATCTAGACAACATAATTAGGGAAGCACAAGAATCGTGACCGACACCATAAACATTCCATACAATACAGAACCCCATTCAATGACTAAGGCAAGGCCTAAGAACTTTAACATACAAAAGGAAAACAAATAGAATAGTTGGTCGCATAAGTAAGGTGAAGACCAGAAACATCACCAACTAGCTTCAAGCTAATAACTAATATATATATATATATATACTAACCACTACTTCTGACGAACGTCGTACGGGTACTACTAC